GGACTTCTTTGCTGTTGAGTCTTGAGCAAACTTATCGCTTTCTGCAACAGGAGGGGGTGAAGATTTCCTTTCGAATTCTGTACCAGTAGTTGAACAATAACCTGTCTCAGGTTCTTCCCTTATGCTCGCAACGTTTTCAAAGCTTTTAACATTCAACCTATTGTCTTCCTTGTGGCCAATTGGAATTTTGCCGTTTGTAGCGGAGGATAGTAACAATCAACAGTGTAACACTTTAAGTGTAACTGATACAGTTATCATAGTAACTAGTAAATTGTATTTCTTTTGTCTGCCTTGCGCCCTCCTCTTAATGCTGTAGCAAGAGATAAAGGGCTGATCTAGGCTTTAAACATGTACATTCATCTAGTCCTAGGTATAATGAAGATGATTTTAAACCCAACTTGTTATGAGCAAAAGCTCATCTTTGATTTGTTTCTACTAAACCCCTCCAAACCTGTTATGGTTCATCCATTATATCTGTATACGCTGTATAACCGTCATTCAGCATAACACACCAGCTTCTGTATCTGTATAGCCTGACTGCCAACTGGCACCCAACCTTTGCGCATCTATCTGTTACTAAGTGTTGCTAAAACTGTCTACATGTAATTGCACTCAGTGTTGTTAAAACTGTCTAGTGATGAGGGGCCCCTACTGTAATCCGTGGCAAGAAGTTCCACTCTACAATTACCAAATCTCATACAGCCCGGAAAAGTGAGAATGTAGCTTCCTAGCCTTGTTAACTCTACATGCTGAAGAAGCGATGCATGACCTGGAGCACAGAGACCAACTGAATAACGTACATTTGTGACCTTTTGTGCTGCGCCCCGAGGCAAGTGCCCTGATACCACCCATTGAGCTCCGGTGCTCTAACAAGCTACAAGACTGGTTGAGTGGCTACTAGTTGGGAGACTACTTAACTCAAATTGGCTTAAATGTGTCAGTAGTTTCTTGCCAACAAATCGGACAGACAACCCTTTGATTGCACTGACTCTCTCAACATATACAGACCCAAACTGGCTGAAATCCTAGGCCTGGAAAATGAAGTCTGCTTTTTGTGACAGATCCCAGTAAGGACTTTCTAGTAGCGAATGTCTGACATTTTTGTGGAATGAGTGCCGTTGGTTGATAGTTCGTCCTGGGGGTCACAGGTCATCTGTCAAAAGTTACTATACTGCCCTTGTTTACATTAACTTAAATGTGCAACCAAATTCTTCAATGATCACATGTCACCACTTGTGAAAGATTTTATCTGGTGTCCCATGTTGGGAAAAAATATTTCAGCAACTCATTGATTAACTTTTTTATGTGTGGATGTTTTCATCATCTTAACGATAGGTTGCAGTACTACCTCCTCTGCTAGGAGGCACTGCTAAATGGCACTGCCACATACGAAGTGGCAAACTGCAGGGGTCAACACTTTTGGAAGAGATTGCGGGAAATATTTTACATTTGCATGCAAAAACCGAAGGTCTAATTTTTATGTGTTCTTGACAGCTGACTGTTAACTTGCAACTGGCAAAATTTGATCACACTACTGCACCAACTACATTACAGAAGCTGCAGATTGGTAGTTTCTTGACAAAGACAAATTCTTCTGTTGAAAAATATAGTTTGAACTTGCTTCACGATGCATGAACAAGTTACATCCCTGTAACCCTCACCTTCCATGGCAGTCCTTGCTTCTGTGGACCTGCAGTGACATAGAAAACATATCATGATCGTGTCTGCTTTAAACGAAACACACTGCCCCTACTGCAAGTACACGTTGGCATTTTGCTATCAATCAATATACACCAACTGACTTCCAGACCTGGTTAAAAGCAATGTTGTTTCTACTGACTTGTACACTGGGTTAAAAGCAATATTGTCTCTGGGAGCTCCATTGTAAGTACAATGTACTACTAATAATATCTAATAGTAATAATAGTGCTAGTTGGGCAGCCTTGGCTGTGTCTTCAGCTGAAATGAATAATTGAATAAATAAATACAAATATCTGATTATGATGAAATGCAGCTGTATTATGATAATTTGCAAAACTCATCCACCAACATAAGAAAGGAATGCCAACATTCACCAGGCTGCAAAACAACTCAGAAGTTGCAAGCTTTTTCTTGATAACTCAACTAATTACACCAGAAGCTTCATCAGGCAAGATTCCGTCCAGAAAAACTTACATGGTTCTGAGTTCAGGTCGCTCCTTGAGGATGTCAGGGAGGATTACTCTACATGGCTTACACTGCACTGTCTCTTTCTTGGTCACTATGTCAAAAGAATAACCAAAAACACCAAAAATAAGATACAACTTTACATGCCCACAGCCCACGCATCTGAAACAAGATACAGTAAACAGAAACAAAGCATAACATGACATGACATGAAAAGCAATCTACTGTGAAGCAGTGCTTTGACTGAAATGGGGCCACCCTGGGTGAATGAAACAGAAACGAATTACTGGTATGTTGGTACATAGCATGATTCAAATTGAAACTTCTGATCCAACACAGCGAAACACACTGTGCTGAATCATTAGTTTAAATTTGGATCGAAAAACAATGATGTTTTGCGACTCAAATATGTCATGCAGTTCAACTTCTAGGAAAGAAAAAACACAACTAGTAAAAAAAATGCACAAAAAAGTTGTTAGGAAGAAGATTACAGGTTAAATAAAATCAAAAGAGAACCAAACATACCTTAAAATACAAATGTATGGGACTTCTAGATGGCAGATCCAGGGCAAAGCAGACATACAATTTAAAAGAAGCATGTACATAGACCAACAAAAATGGGCAGAAAAAAGCTTGTAACATGCATGTAACCGTGAATGTGTCATAGGTACATATATGTATGCACATACACAGCGTGACAACACACAGTTTTCCTGTTTTTCACCCCCTTTCCTGTTCATACATGATCTCATCAACTCACTATCTGCAATGTGTCTATAAAGATACATATATATATTTTTCAACTCACACACGGATGTCACATGCTAAAAATATTCCAATGAAAACCTGTCAGGTGCTGATTGGTTGGGTGGGGAACCCGAAATGATTTCCCCACACGTACATCATGTGGCTACCGAAAGGTATAATGTGTGTTACGTGTGTGTTGACCATTAGCATGCACAGGCCAGCTTACTGTGAGTGTGAAGTCAGCCACATCATGTTGAGGTAGGGCTGGAAATACTGGGTGCACGTGCACCTTAGTGCACCCAAAGTTGGAGCAGTGCACCGAATTTTTTTCTATACTATGTTTACATATGTAAAAAAAGTAAATGTATACTAGTATACAGCATATCCTTGACATTTAAGTGTCAGAAAAATGATAAAATCTTGGTTTTATCATTTTATGTGTAGAGTGGATACAACCCTCCAGCTAACCGACATCTTGCACACGCAGTCGTCCCTCAGTAAGACATCTGGAGCCGCATAGTTCCCGTTTAGAACTTTTATTCAGACTGTCACACTGAGGGACGACTGTGTGCAAGATGTCGGTTAGCTTGAGGGTTGTATCCACTCAACACATATACTGCTTACTTCTCATTGGACCAACAGACCTAAGCAGAAGAAAGATAGGAAGAAAGGAGAGGAGACATCTAAAGCAATGGTGACCTTACCCTACATCAAAGGCATCACAGAACCGCTGCAAATGATTTTCAAGAAACACAACATTGCAACAGCAGTCAAGCCCAAGACCACGCTAAGAAACCTGCTAGTACATCCGAAAGACAAACTACACGACTCAGTGAAGACAGACTATTGTAAATAAGCCTGTTATACAATTTACACTTCCATACGTTTGGAACCGCTTTGTAGTTGCTACATAACTGCCTTCGTTCTACTTAGTAAACTGACCACATCATGTATATACCAGATTGCAAATACAGTTTATCGCTATAAGTGTAATATGTAAATAGATGTAAATATAGTACGTTTGGGAACGCATTCTGCAGCAGCGACACCTATGCTGCAGTACCAGTCA